TTTGTACGTTGACTTTCCAGTATAGGTTAATACCGCCAAATTTTTGTTATTGTTTTCTTCTTTGTTTGGCTTTTTGTTTTTGTGCTCCCTTCGGATTTCTTCTACCAGATCTCTTTTGTATCCGTTATTAGCCGCTATGGCATATATTGCGTTCAGTTCTTTGTTGTATCCTTCTTTTGTTATTTCTTATTTTGTATTTCTTATTAATTTAGTTTTTAAAAATGGCTACAACTCACTTCTATCCATATTGTATGCCATTCCTTCCTTCTTAGCATATATACTACAACTGTTTATACGAAGATTAGACAGGTCTTTCTATATTTGGTTTCTTCATTTTGTTTGTGGGCGCCCAAGGATCTTTTCAGCGTAGCATCATCATTGAACTACTAAGCTCGTCGCTCCATTCATCTGTACCCGCTGTTCACTTGAATAGGCTCTTGCAAAGGGTTGTAATCTTGTAAGTTCTACGTTTTAGCGTCAACTTAGATAACTACATACATATGAAAGTCGCTGTACAAATATATGTATAATACGTCTCCCATGCCTTCACTTCGCTTTAGAAAGTGAAAATGATTGTCCTAGTTACATAAATATGCATTACTGATTACTGATTCTGTAGGCTACAATGTCATAAATTCTCTTAAGTATTTTTACGCATAGCGCATAGAGGTAAATTTTTCACAAAATACCATTTAAGTAAGATGTCCTACATATCAAATTAACTTATTAGTAAAAATAGCTGAAGTACATAAGAATTAGCTACTCCAATAACTATGTATATATTCATGCATGCATAAATGCTATTACACAAAAAGTTAAGGTGTTCAAAGAAAGACCGTAGAAAAATGCACAAAATGCTCAACAGACCTTAAATATAACTCGTAAGATTGAACTCGGTTGAACTAACTGAACTGGGCGTGTATTCGTGCACGGATGATAAACGCTTGAGAGCAGCAGTTCCTACTCAGTTTCTCTGAAATCGCGCACACGTAGCCTGTTTTATGTTGCTTTTTTTTGTTTTTGTTGTGCATAAAAATTTATTTTGATTTGTGGAGTAAAAAGTTAAGGCTTGTATAGACTTACTGTGTTCGCATATTTTTTATATGTACATATATTGAAAATCATATCTCTCACCGTTGAATGTGCCATTAAGTTTACAAATCCTTAAACAAATTCTCTTTCGGCTCAACTCTGTTCTCTTTGCTTTCTCTTAGGCATAAAATATTACTACTTTCCATTTTTCTTTTTGCAAAAAGCTGCCTGCGGTAAGCTTTCGCACCACCACCACCCTAAATAATGAAGCAGCCCGCATTCAAAGCTACTCGCCTAAATAAAAAGTAAATCTACTCTTCGTGTTCCCTCGCAATATTCGGGCGTTTGTGCTTTGTAAGCGCTGTTATGCTTTGAACTGTTTTCTACACCCGAAAATTACCAGCATAACAGTTTTGCTTGCGGTAGGTATGCTTAGCGTAGAGAGTGAATGACGAGTGGATGAGGAGGCGATGAGGGGCTGTGGTTGTTAATAAAAAAAAAATTCCTTTGCTAATGTTGCTGCAGGAATTCTACTCAGCTGCAGCCAGCTGTTAATTTGTTATGCCGTTTTTGGCTTGCTCTCTGTCTGTGCTTTGGATTTGCCAGCATTGTTTGATTTCGGTGTTTTTTGTGTGCTGCTGAGCATTTTTGTTGTTGCCTTAGCTTTTGTGTTAGACGTTGTCCTTTGCATTGGCATTTAACCTCTCGCACGAGCAAAAAAATTTTACGTATGACAGCTTTGAAGCCGGGGCTCAATTTAATCACGGCCGCTTTGTTGCTAAATATTTGTTTCGTCTCTCTACCTCTCTAGCACTGTCTCTCTTAAATTTTTACTCTAAACAGCAACACCATTGGCTTTGTTTTTTGCTGAATGCCTGGATAGATTTATACATATCTCCATATATACATATATATTTGTGTGTACATACATATGTGTATGTGAGCGCAAAGTCCTTGTGAATATTTTTCCACTTTTGTTTCTTGAAACAAAATTTAATTTAAAAGTTTTTATCTGCGTTTGCATTTTGCTTTCCACTGTCAGTTTTCGTAATTTCGCTTTATGTATGTATGTATGTAAATTGACATTATTGCCCTTTTCTTGCCATTTGCTAGAAATTTGTACTTCGTTAGAGGCCACATTTTTTTTTGCCTTTGTTTTTTTTTGTTTTTTTTGTTGCCATTTGTTGGCATTTAAAGTGTAAAACTTTTGTGCATCCAAGTAGTTATGCGCGTCTAAGGCTCTTTGCATACTACACTCTGCGTGCGAGTAATGCGCTAATGAACTTTTTATTTGCCATTGAAGTTTTGTCTATTTAAGCACTCGTTCTGTTAGCGCGCGGCTGTGCGGCAGGGTGTGGGAGCAGTGAGAAAGGCTTGAAAGTAAAACTTTTCTAATTGGAAAAATGCAATAAATGAAATGAATGAGTGTTTTGCCTGATAAGCATTTTTGGGTTATTTATGTTTTGCGAGAGCGCTTTTGTGGCGGAAAGTTTAAATTTTCAAACTCATTTGCGAGTGTTTAGTTTAAAGTTAGGAAATATGAAAAAATTATTAGAAATTGGCGCATAAATAGACTAAATATCACTCTGAAGTAATGAATTTTGATTGCCAGAACTTAAGAAACTTAAAAACAGGGACAAAATTTAATGTCCTGGACGTTCTCACAAAAGGGACAACAGGAACAAAACTCTCGGGAACATTTCTACGAAGAACAGAGTGAGAACGAAACTTTCGGCAGCATTTCCAATGAGAACACAATAGGAACGGTAGTATTGAGAATGCTTTCAGCGAGGATCAAATAAGAACTAAATACTCAGGAACGTTCTGCTAGAGAACAAAACGAGAACAAATAAATGTTTTGAGAACTTTTCGTTAATGAATGTGAGAACCACGATTGTTAATTTTAAGCCAGAAAAAAGCTGGATAATTTAAACTTCCAGATCGTTTGTCAATAGGGTGAGTTGTCCATTTATGGAACAATTTTTGAGTTTGTGTGTAAGAAAAGTGCGTGTATTGTTTCAGTTCTGTTTTGATTAATTTTAATATTCAAACACTTCGAACTAGTGGAACGCTATAAGAAAATTTTCTGCTCGAATCCTTTCTTCGCGAATAGTTCGGTGAAGATTTGTTCCGTTTCGTTCTCTATCACAAAGTTCCTAAGACTCTAGTTCCCAAATTGTTCTTCTAGAGAAAGTTCCGTACAATTTTGTTCCCGTTTTGTTCTCATAGAGATATTTTTCTTTTAGTGAACGTTCCACAGGGTTTGGTTCTTATATAGTTCTCAATGAGAACGTTATCGAAAGTTTTTTTTCTCATTTCGGTTTTGGTTTTGAAGTGTTATTGGGAACAAAATTACGGGAGCGACATTTAGTTTCGATCATTCCTTTTGTTCTCGCCCCTATAAAAAATACATGGAAAACTTTGAACCCATTGAGCGACCTATAACTATTTCTTGATTTTAAAAAAAGAAAACCCAAAATACCCAAACCTTCAAAAAACTTTAAAAAGTATATGTACTCCGGACAAAGCTCGTCCAACCTGGTACTAACTAATTGTTTAATTAAATAATTTCTTTTTTAACTTTCAGGACTGGTGGTGGCAGCATGTTGGGTGATGTTAACATATCCGCTATTCTCGATTCATTTAGTGTTAGCTACGACAAAAGAGTAAGACCTAACTATGGAGGTGAGTTTCATGTTTGCAAGAGTCTTAAGAAAAGAGTTCAAAGTTCAAAAAAAAAAAATAATATTAAAAAAAAATAGAAAACCAAACTAAATTGTTGCAATCTTGAAAATGCGGTGATAATTCGAAAAAAAAATGCAAAAAAATATATAAAAAAGTAGGCATTTAGGAACTGACTGTGCAGATTTGGTGAAAGCCAAATATTTACTTTCACAACAGTTCACTAAGAGTATAGAAAATTATTCATTTGATATAGTAAATCATTGATTTCAAATAGGTACATATATACATGCTCAATTAACTTGTGGTTAAACGACATTTTCAAATTCCAAATACATAACTTCTACTCTGCATTTGGTAGTTCTATTATAACTCATTTTAAATAACAAATAAATTTACATACATATATATTTTTTATATAGAATGCTTACATCTTTTCATCTTTGCTAAATGAAATAATAAGCTTTTATAGAATTTATCTTACTCATAATACATAAAAGATTTACTATACATGCAACTCTTTAACTCACTTTCACTTTCCCAAACTTAAATACTAATCATAGACCAGTAACAAATACATATTCAACTATAATATACAACGAACACATACCCACAGAAAAACCAATAAAAAAAGAAACATTTTCTCCAAACTCAAAAAAATAAAAAAGAACACGAATAACCAATTATGCCATTGCACACATACATAATTAATTAAAATCATCTTAAAGATATGGATAATTATTTTTTGCATTTTAAAAAATATCTACTAAAAGTTAATATATA